CCCCCCCCCCCCCCTGCCTTTTTTTTGCTGGTTGGGGGTTTTTTGGGTTTTTTTTTTTTTTTTCTTGTTGTCCTTTTTTTTTTTCTTTCTTTCTCTTTTTGGTCCAAACCTGGTGAGAGGAAGTAAGGGTAGCGTGTTCTTAAAGCACTACCAGGAGCACTTCATCTAACCGAACAATGTTTATGGTACTTTATTTAGTCCCCGCCCGGCGCGCCCTTTGTAAACCTTAGTGATCAGCTGGCCCATCCGCCAGACCGTTTGAAAAATACTACGGCTGTGGTGAAAACTTCAGGGAAGAAAGGTTTTTGCTCTCCAAAATAGTTCTGTCCCTGAAACTGAAATTCATTTTCTTTGCAATGTAGTACTCTATTCCTGTAAACATCCATAAACTTCATGGTTTTTTTTTTTTATAATTACTGAAACTTGCTAAACGCCTCTGTGATTTGAAGTTCTTGGTTTCATACTGTGTTGTTATTCCTATTTGAGTGACAGACTTTATGAATGTGGATTACTGTTAATTTGAAGTAAATAAAATGCTGTTTGTTTTATAAAATTTACTTCTTCCTGTCCCCAATCAATCGCTACAGCTTCAGTTTATCCTAGAAAGCTAGAGGCAAGAAACAGGGAGAAATAAAAGCCTAGTATAAAATAAAATGTAACTTCGCCATGGTTTTAAAAGTAAGGTATTTTAACATATCTGCAGATAAGTAAATTTGTTTAAATGCCAACAGATACTGGTGTAGCCAGGAAAAGGGGGGTTAATCTTGCCGGGTTGTTCATTTCATTAAATACTCCATTTCACCGTTTTGTGTTTTGTTTTTTACTTCAGGAAAATTCAAGAAGGATGGAGACAAACTATATGGCTCTTCCCCCAACAGTTCCTTCCTGCCTTTCTGCTTTCTCTTCCTCTCAAGTTAACATCTACTGCCATAAGGTAGTGTGTTAAAGGACCGGCTACAGGCATAGGGAGTGTATGTGTATGAATGCATGCAATATAGAGCACTCTGATCTGACTACTAATTATGTGGAGGCGTGCTCGAGAGTGAGTGTGTGTGTGTGTGTGTGTGTGTGTGTGTGTGTGTGTGTGCATTGTCACATTGGGTGACATTAAATGTTCTAATTCATTACTCTTCTTACCTATATTAAGTTTAATAACACAGTTTTGTCAGCATTGGAAGCCCTTCCACAGTGTAGAAAGTCTGAGAATTTTATTATGTTTGGTTTTTCACTGGGCAAGATAACATGTTATTAATAAGTGCATGGAGTAGGATACTAGAAGAAAATTCAGTGGTACTATTACTCCTAAGAACACCATTTGCTTAGGACTGATGCCCAAGTTTTTATCTTCTCTACTGAGTGGGGAATCTCATAAGTTGGTAAGATCAATTTAATAGGTATTGAATGGCATAGCATTTGTTAAGGGCTTATATTGATGGATCATCATGATGTAAGCACTCAATAAAAATTTTAAATCATCCTGTTGCATCAAAAACTTCTTCACTGGGGATAGTTTTTACAGGTCTTTGTGTCTAACACTTGAGAAGCAGAGAAAGGCTGATCTATTGAGTTCCAGGCCAATCTGGTCTACATAACTAGTTCCTTGAGACCTTGTCAAAATAAAACCACTTCATCTTCAAAACCAGACATGATGACACTTGTCTGTGATCCTATTACTGTGGAAACTGAGACAGGAGAGTCAGCCTGAATTTGAAGCTAGCCTAGACAACATACTCATAAGACCTATCTCAAAAACAACAAAAAAGCGAAATAGCAATTGCTGTTAATGATCATATTTACCCATTTGCTGTTTTTTTAAATTTTGGTAGTGAAGGGGGTTAATAATTTTGTTACTTTTACTTGAAAAATAGGTCATACTGATGAGTATGTTTGTGTGTTTTTTAAATATATGTTAAAATTTTTTGTGCACCTCACAGAAAAATTTTTCACTTGGATTTAGGGGAAAATGCTTTATTAAGGAAAGAATAAGTTTGTGTATATGTGTAGAAGGGAAAGGCCTTCCTTTAAAAAAGCAGTGGATATGATGCTGGCATGTTCGCCATGACAAGGAATAAAAAAAATGTCTCTCAAATGTAACTGAAAAAGAATGGGTGACTCCCCTCTCATCCGCCAGCTTGTTCATCACCTAGTGTTCCTAAGTTCCACATAAATAGTAACACTGTTTACCTATTTAGGCAGGAAATTAGAAATCCTCTGTGATTCCTTCTCACTCTGTGTCACCTTACCAGTATGTACCATGAACTCTTTACAAATATATTATGACTTCCTACTTCTCATCAACTCACTCCCACCCTTGTGAGCTACCATGGTCTCTTTCTAATGTGCAGTTAACACCCACTCTGCTGCCCTCTGTCAGCCTTCCTTGTATACCAGCCAGAACCATTATTTTAATTTCTTTGTTCAATTGTGTTTCTCAGGTTTTTAAAACTTCCTGTAGCTTCCCTATGTATATGGGATAAAACCTGAAAGGCCTTTCAAGCTGTCGTATTCTAGCTCCTCTTGTGTGCATTTTGTTTTCACCTATTTTGCCTCTGCTTTCTGTCATATCCCACACTCTTTCCAGTCTATAGCACAGACTGTTCATTGCTCCCCCAAATTCCTCTTTTTTGGAGTAATAAATGTGGACACATGGCTATGTGGCATAAAGACTGTGTTTCTAGTTTACTTTGTAGCCACACGATAGCATCACTAACCAGTTAGTTATACTCCTGTATCTGTTATCCTTATCTTGTGCTCCTCCAGAACAACCCTTTGATTAAAAGCAAGTACACCCATCATCCCTTTGCTCCTATCTCTGTTTTGTGCTCTGAAGTACTGATAGCCTGGAACACTCCTTGCAAGCTTAGGACATACATATGTTCCTTCATTTTAAGAATTGGCAAAACTTTAAAGTAGTAGAAACTAAGATCCCTTAGGACTTTGTGGGTCAGAATATAGTATCTGTACTACATTCCTTTCAATTTTTTGGTGTGGGGAAAAATTGGTTACCTTTGTATCTTTTATTATCAAAACCATTATTTGGAGATAGACATTGAGTCAGAAGGATTACCACAGTTTGAGGGTAACCTAGACTGGAAGAAAATGTCAGCCTGGGTTACATTGTCCCTGGCAACCCTCCCTATGATAGCTCCCCCTATGTTTATTCTCTAATACTGTCTTCTACAGGAGTAATTACAAATTTTTAAAATCCAAACTAGGAAAAAATAGCACTAAGCTAATGAGATATCTGGAATTTCCAGACCTTGGTAATGAAGATAGATGAATTTTTAAAATCCAAACTAGGAAAAAATAGCACTAAGCTAATGAGATATCTGGAATTTCCAGACCTTGGTAATTATTTTAGATGCCCCCACTCCCAACCCCCATCTCCAGGAAACCTCTATTACTGAAAGGAAGGGGAGCAAGATGAATGGTGTGAAAACATAGTGCGTTTAAAGCGGAAATTCTAACTACTGTCTGCTTGATTTTTCTGTGTTACTGAACTTAGTTTCTTCATTTCAAATACACAAAAGTATCATGAGTTCAGAGTGGTCACTACAACAGGGTAAGAGTAAGCCCAACTCAGTGGCACAGTATGTAGCACCTTAGTTTGTAGCTGTTAACATTCCCATGGTAGTACTGAGGATAGTTCAGAGAAGCAGGGCAGCTTACACATTTCTTACACACTTGCTCCGTTCCTCTTCTAAAAGTGCATCGTAAGGAAATAAGGATGTGTATAACAGTACAATCGATAGAGTATTGCATTGTTCAATATAATAAGCATCAACCATACAGCCATTAAAAATGATGTTGACAGTGTTGGTTTCTGTTGAGGACCTGCCCTCTTGGCTGGTAAATAGTTGTATGCTTCTGGTGTCTATACATGGTTTTCCCTCTGCTTTCCCGGGACTAACTCTTACAAGACACCAGGTGCTTGGGATTATGTTCACCATGAGACCTCATTTGACCTTAATTATATCTTTACAAACTGATTTTCAATGCAGTTATATTCTGAGGTAAGGGAGATTATAATGATGGGGGGGGGGTAACAGTTCAGCCCGTAACACACAGGAGGGCAGAGATGACCATGAACCAGTGACCAGAATCAGAGTGAGCCAGTGAAAGTTTGGAGTGCTGTAAATGCCAGGCAAAAGAGTTGATAAAAATGTTTTAAATAAAACACCACTATCCCATGGTTTAGTTAGCACCAAAAGGGTGGTGAGGACATTCCATTTTGATGAACCGTCGTTCAGCTTTGACATAACTTACCTGAAGATAATTACATCCCATGGGTCAGGACTCTTGTTCCACAGACTGCTCTTCCCTTCAGATGCTAGTTGACTGATGCAGTGTAAGTCAGGGTTCCATAACCCCTTCCTCAGGCTCAATTAATTTACTCTAATTGATCACAGACTTGAGGGAAACACTTTACCTGTACTCACAAATTTATTAAAGGAGATACTAAAATGGATGTTGATGAATAGCCAGATGGAAGGGATACATAGGGTGAGATGCAGGATAAGACCTGGAGGTTTATATTCTGTTCAGGTATGCCACCCTCTAGGGGCACACCTAAAGTGTGTTCAGCTATCTAAACCCAATCCTTCTGGGGTTTTATGGAAGCTTCAAAATAGGAACGATTGATAACATTATTGATGATTAACCAATACAACCTGTAGCCCATCTCCCTGGAAGCAGCAGCATTTGTTCTGAAGCTGTTGAGAGGTGCCTCCTTAGGACAAAACATTGCCTTATCTCCCAGGAAATTGTAAGGAATTAATTGCTCTGTGCCATGGTCAGAGACCCACACCAAACAACATACATGTACCCATTACATCTGCTGCATATAGAGGTATAAATGACATTGTGTCATTTATAAGCTATACAGATATAAATATGTTTTTCTGAGGTTCTGATATTAATGAAACTGTCACCTGATTTTCAACAGATACCAAGAGTACACATTGGAGAAGATATGGCTCCTTCAAAAAATGCTGAAAACTGGGTGTTCTTGTGTTAAAGATTCCTTTGTCTCACCCAATATAAAAATCACATTCAAAATGGATCAAAAACCTTAATCCCTGGAGGAAACACACGAAAGTAGAGGCGAGGTTTTTTCTGAAAAGGATTGCAATGTCACGGGGAAAAAATGGCAAGAATTGAGAAATTGAATGACAGGAAATGAAAAGCTGCACAGAAAAGAAAACAATGAAGAGGCATGAAATGCCATCATGAAGCCCCTTCCTGTGCATGCTGATTTTATGTTTAGTTAAGTCAGAATTGGGCAAAGTGGAAGCAAAGTTGTTTTAAGTTCATAGTATTTTTTTATGATTTTCTGAACCCTAGTCATTAAAATGACAGCAGCTGGACATGGTAGTGCACACCTTTAAACTCAGCATGCAGATGGCAGAGGCATGTGGCTCTATGATCAGGACTGCCTGATCTCCATAAAGATCTCCAGGACAGTCAGGACTGTGTTGAGAGACCCATCTCAAAAAACAAAGGGGGCTAAGTCAGCAAAGTTTACTGTGATTGCTTGGTTTTCCCAGTTTTACTATTTTTTAAGCCTTTGATCCAGACACAAGGAGTGACATACTTACCCATTACTGGTCACTCACCATCACTGCTCTGTCCAACCCAAAACAAAGAACTATGAGCATCCAAATCAAGAGAAATTAACTTACCTAGTTGTTTTCCTTGTGATCCATAATTGGCCTTTTAATGGCTTTTAAGTAAAGATAAGAAATTAAAGTTTCGTGGAAAATTCAAGCTGTTAAAGAATACGTTATTGTATCACCAGAGATTCGGGAGGATTAAAAACCTGAGTTGAAATGTGCTCGCCGATAACTCCTGGACAAATTGCCTAACCTCCTTAGCTTCCATTTTGCTGTGTGGAAATGGTACATAAGAATATGACTGATTTTGAGTTACAAAAAT